ATGGAAAAAGGCATGAAAGGGGGGCATGAAAGGAGGCATGGAGTCACTCGACGTACTCGGCTGTACCACCAGTGGTAGTAGTCATCGTCGTCTCTGTCAAAGCTGGGCGGTAGGTCTTCGTCGACGGTCTGCCGGGCCTGCAGGGCTGCTGCTGCTGCCGCGAAGAGATGCATCTTCGCCAGTGCTCGAGACGAAGTGTCGACGGGATCGGATGCGAAGGACACGAGGTGTTCTCCTTGGCGAACGCGGCTGAGAAGAGGGTGGCGCTGTCGACCAGCGTCGTCGAGCTGCGTCTAGGGGGGGCGCTCTGGCAGCCTGGTCTGTGGCTGAATCGGGGAGTGCGGATGAGATCTGAGGTCAGGAAGGTATAGGACCGACAGAGGATGGGCGTATAGCAGTAGGGTTAAAGTGTTGTTTAAGGGATCGATGTTTCGGAGGTGGAAGACGAGAGGCAGCCCACGGGCAAAGGGTGCACGGTGGGAAAGAGGGAAGGCAAAGCCCGAGGTTTGAGAGTTTGGGGGGCAGGAAAGGACAGCCTTGGTCGTTGGATGGTCAAGCGCGCGTGTTTGGGGGTCGCTGTTACCATGTACATACTGATACAGCTCGTCAGTGGCTTCCAAAAGGCTTGCGTGGCGGGGTGAGGAATGCCGTGACAGGGTTGCAGCAGAACGTGTTTCATTTGCTGGGGGGGCCCAGCGATCCGAGGGGCCGCGAAGGCTGTACAGTACGTATGTAGAAGACCGTCCTCATCCGATTCGGTCGCGCTCGGCCACGACTGCGTGGCCAGGCAACGTCTACTTGGCGCTTGGCCCTCTTTGCAACCCGTCCATCTCGTCTTTCATCAGCCATCGAGTCAGCCACTACGACGAGGTGGCCGCTCGACTTGGCAATCCATCATCATTGTGCATTGTGAATACTCAGGCTGCCTTGTACAGGGATTTGATTGTCTACAGCATCACCAAATATCAAGCGAAACAAAAACGCCTAAAGCCGTCCCGTCCCGCCTGCCGCATCGTTGAGGGTTGCCCAAGTATTCCTCACAAAACTGCGGCAGATCATCATGCCGTGTTGTTCATACATCCTTGTGCCCACATCATCCGTCCTCTTGGCACCGAGCCGACCGCGACCACCCGAACATGTTGGGAGAAAGAGAGAAGTGGAGGAAAGGGGGAAAGGGGGAAAAGAGAAAGGGGGCAATATGTTCTGATTATAAGAAGTGAAACCCTCCGCAAACGCGTCACACGATGCATCGCTTTGCCATGCAGTACGGAATCCAAAAAGGGTTGGCATGCAGCAACCCACATCAAGTTGAGCCGCCGAAGCTTTTCATCAATCGGAAAGACCACGCTAAACGCCGTCTTTGTTGATGAAAAGAAGAAAGAATGAAATATGGTATCATGGAACCAGAAAATACGCCAGAAGCAGCAAATGAGCATATGATGTTTCCCAAACGCGGCGTTAGATGGCTCGAAAAGAAAGATGAAGTATGATCACATGTCCACTTAGGACTCGACCTTGGGGCGTTTTGCGTCGCCGCCCGTGTCTGTGCTTTCGCTGCTGCCGATTTCAGGCGTTTTGCGCTTGGCGATCGGCGGGTTGTCCTCTCGCAGGAAACTGGGGCCCTGTCCCACCACGGGAGTCGCAAAGTTGAGCGGACTCGGCAGCGTGTTGCTGTCGTTGCCGCCGCGCTGATACCAGTACGTGTCGAAGCTGCTTGGGCTGGGCAAGAACTCGTTGTTGAGGAACCGGGACGGGAGGGCGGAGACGGGTGTGTCGATATTCATGTTGTTGTTTGGCTGCGGCGCCGGTCGCGCGAACGGATTCGGCGGTCCTGTTGCACCCGCGGAGAGCAAGGCCGATGCAGAAGGGGAAGGCGGTGGAAGGACCATGTTGGAGGCCTGGCCTTCCGGCCGCCGGGCCGCTTGTGTTGCGGCGGGATCAGCTTGCGTCCGTGGCGACTGCGTTTCGGAAGCACCAGTGGCAGTCTGTTGCTCGTCAGACGGTTCGTCGGGAATTTCGACTCGGAGGCGAGGCCGCGCCCCTCCGCCGCCGCCAACGCTGCCAAGCTTCATGCTGTTGGATCGCGATGGAGGCGTAAAAGTGGTTTCGGGAATAGCCGCAATGGACACATTGCGTCCCTTGCCCGGTCCTTGGGAATCGGACTGTTGAGGGAGCGGAGGCGAGCTGGTGTGGCCGTTTGTCCTCGAAACCGCGCCAACGTCTACTGACTGAGACCGGTTGACACTTTCAATCTTGATGCCGGCGTCCGACTTGGAGGCCGACGAATCCGCTGCAGCAAAAGAAGCAAGATGCTGTGACAGGATAGACCGGTTTTCGTCGATCGGAGTGAAGATGCTGTGTTGCTTGCGCTGCGGCATCTTTTTGATGGCATAGTCTGTGTTCAGCAACGGGGCGCGCGGCTTGTCTCTAGATTCCTGCTTCACGGGCTCCGTCGGTGCGAGCATGGCGCCTTCTTGATGGTGCTGCGGTTCAAGTTGCTGTGGTTGCGGCGGGGGCGGTGACACGTGAGAAGACTGCTGGTGCTGTTGTGGCAGCTGCTGCGCGTTTGGCTGCGGAGGTGAAGGCGAGATCCGTGAGACTTGAGGGCCTTGCGTGTTCTGCGGGTACGTTGGCGGCATCGAGGCTCGCCGCTGGTCCTCTAGGTATTGCATATGTTGTTGCTGTTGCTGTTGCTGCTGTTGCTGTTGATGCGGCTGATGTGGCTGCTGCTGGTGGTTGGGGGGATAGGCCGGGTACTGAGGACCTTGCTGAGGCATTCCGTGCTGCTGCATGTTCTGCTGGTTCTGCGGAGTGTAGATGGCGGGATTGGGCATAAAGGCATAGCCGTTGACAGGCTGTTGCTGAGGGGGAGGTGGTGGTTGCTGCTGCTGTCCTATCCGGCGAATGTCCTGTCTGGAGGCAGGGCGAGATCCCATCTGGGGTTGGGGTGTGTGGCTGCGAGGTCCGGGCTGGCCAGGGTGTTGCTGGAAGTGCATGCCGTTGATGGGCGGCGAGGCCGATGGCTCGTGATGCCTCATGTGGGGGAAGCCCGGCTGGCCTTGGAAGTGCGGCGGCAGCATCTGGGGCTCCATGGACTCGCGGATCGGCGGGGTGCCGTTGTCGTCTTCCTCTTCCTCCTCGTCGTTGCCGCCGTTGAAGTCTGAAGGCCCCTTGTGCTCGGTTGGTCCGCCATGCTGGATAGCAGTCAGTGACGTGGTCTTGGACGTCGATCGTCGGGAGAAAACTCACATATGTGTAACGGGTGATCATCTCGCGCATGTCAGTCGACGAGTACTCGTACAGCTTCTTGTTGTTGCCAAAGATGAAGACAGCCACGTCGACGGAGCAAAGGACGGAAAGCTCGTGCGCCTTCTTGAACAGGCCTCCCTTTCGCTTCAGAAAGGTGCTATCTCGCGCGTGCGCGCCCACAGTTAGCTATCGAGGGTCGTCGCATCGCGAATTTTCCGGGGAGGGGACATACACAGAGCGGTTGCGGTCATCCTTGATGGCCTTGATCTCAATCTTCCTTCGACCCATGTCGTCGGTGCGTCGTGTCGATAACGCGACGATGTGGTGGGGTGTGAAGGATGGAAGAGGGGCGAAGGAGCTGCCGGCTGGTGGCTAGCAGGTGGTGCGCGGCGCGGCTGGGACAGGATCAACTGAAATCGTCGCAAGATTTCTTCAAGGCTCGCGGGGACGACTAGGGCTGCTATTTTTTTTTCCCCTTTGCGCCAGGATCGACAGCGGCGGCGGCGAGGTCGGTGAAAGCTTCGACGCGCTAGTGACGGGCAAACGAGGTCGAGCTGGTGTCTGAGGAGGGTGAAAAAAAAAACGAAAGATCGGTCGCGAAAGCGCAACTGGCTGGCCGAGGTCAGGTCGACGGGCGAGGATCCGTGATCGAGGGCTGTCGCGACAACGGGAAGAA